TTCCAGCTTCTATATACAGTCAGTGTAGGAAACCGAATTGCGAACAGGGGATACTGCCCTAAATGAACTTTCCAGGAATATAAGATGAAGTTTTTTCTAGATGTAGTTTCATAAGGCGACCTGACGACTTGAGAGACATCACTCCCAGTAGCTCGCCGTGATCGTATAGTGGTTAGTACTCTGCGTTGTGGCCGCAGCAACCCCGGTTCGAATCCGGGTCACGGCAGGGATAAGTTCCCTAACACGGCATGGGATTCTTTTTTTCCGCCCTGTCACAAAGGATATGAAGAAATATCATCAGGGATATTGCATTGGCTTCGGCGTCAAAATCAGAATCAGAATCTGCATTATTGGCTAGGTGTGTCGCACACATGAGGAATTTAACTCCGATAGCTTCAACAATTATTTTAATCTAGGCCCTACATTCTAGTTTAGTTGACGATTACCCTACATTTAGCTGTAACAACCTTCAGTGGAACTACTATTAACCATTAAAATAAATGTAGTGGCGTACAATAGGGTATTTGCCTCTGAAATATAGTGGAGTAGTATGAGGTAGTAAAATTACTCAAACCACCTCAAAATTACACTTAACTACAATATTTGTGTAGATGCTCTTAGCTTAGTTAATTCCCATCACTTTAAATATCTCATTGTGAAAGTAGTTGTTTTTAAATATAGTGCACTGGCAGTGAAATATTGGCACTTTGTCCCATGATGATAGGAAAGGCGGTCTTTTGTGATTGCCATTTGGAGACGACGAGCCAATCACCGAGCCAGCAGATCACATGTGCTGCTATAGCGCTATGCATGCGGTTTTCTGATTGGTCTTTGTCTTCACATGTAACCGCCCCCATACTTTAGTGAGTGCCGTGTTTGCGACATACAGTTTTAGATAGCACTGAACTCTTGGAACCTTCAAACATCAGTACTATTTGAAGTTATCTAATACTCTTGATTCAGTACTCTGAACAGCTGGACACATATTGGCACCATCAGCGGTAAGGACAAAATACACGGATCATTAAGTTTGTCTGCTATCGAGCACCTTGAATAAAACCATAACTAATACCTAATGACTTTGTTTGAAAAATTGTGATAAATAAATGACCTACTTTAATTTATGATAAACGAAAATATGAATCACATTGTTGAAATTAATCAGTTTTAAGCCTGTTTTTGATCAGTGTCAACGATCCTTTCTTTAAACAGATCATGGAGACCCCTTCAGGAACTGGAGTTCTTCATCCTTACTGGCCACGGAACCTTGTCATTCCCACCTATGTTGCCAATGATCGATCTATGTCAGAGCTCCTGTTGTTTCTGTTTTCTGTGTCTGGTGTGTTTCTGCTTGCAACCTGGCAGCTTACTGGCTGGATTGGGGCCACTGGCAGGATGGGGACATGGAGGCGTCTGGCTGTGGGCTGGTTTGGTGTTTGTGGTTTTATCCATTGCATCATTGAAGGCTGGTTCTCACTGTATTATGATATTATTCCAGGAGATCAGCACATCATCTCACAGCTGTGTGAGTAAAAACAAAAAACATGCTTTTTAAAAAAATGCAAAAACATCATATAGTGTGCTATATTGGAAGTGCTTTTTTGGTCAGTACACCATGTCTTACATTTCTCTTCCACAGGGAAAG